GAGTGGGAGGTCAGGGATGGTAACATAGACACTAAAGCCTGAGTTGGCACAGGGGTACAGGCACCAGCACAGCATCTTGATCTTGCAGAACATACTGTGTGGCAGGCCTGGTGACTGGGGTTGATGTTTCAGTCAGTCAGATTCCCAGTAGGGACTTAGGTCTCTAGACCAGATTATTTTTTATTATTGGTGGCAGATTTCCAAACAGCAGCAGGAAGCAGTTAGTGTGCAGATCATCCCTGCAGGGGAATTTTAGCCAAAATAGTTTGTCCAAGGTAACCACAGCAAATGTATCTTGTAGGACTTCATCCCTATCAGAGCTACTTCCATCTGTAAATAGTGTGTACTCAGCATCTGTCATGAGGTCCATGTTTAGCACAGTTCACCCCACTCAGAGGTCTCAGTCTAAGGCGAGCTTGTCAGCTTTCTTGAGCAGGAGGACAGTGGCTGTTAGAGTGTGAAGGCAAATGGAGGAGGCAGCCCTTGTTTACCAGAGCGTTTGCAGAGGTAGGGCACTGTGTTTTCCCAGGGGGGACAACCTGAGTAAGTATCATTGTTTTTGATCCTAGAACTCAAGGATCTAGATTTTACAGAAACTTTTATAGAAACAGCAGCTTCAAGAAACTTGCCATTTTTTTCTTGTAACCAGTTTCCGCCAAATATTGCAGCAGAATCTTTGTGCCTTTCCAGCAGGCAGCTGAAAGTGTCACTAATTAAAAGTGCTTTTTAAGGGAGGAACAAGTTTTTTGAACCTTTAAGGGGGTTGAGTCCAGGTCAGCTGGCTTTTGAGTCCAGAACTGGGGTCTTTCCATTTGAAGGTGAAGAGGAGCTGGCTAACAGGAGCCAACTGAAGGAAGAAGGTCCAGGCAAGTACACCAGCAGGCTAAGGGTGGCAGAAGACTGAAGCAATGTAGTGGAGGGTAACCACGGTGGCACCGGCAGCTCAGAGATCTTGAACTGACTGTACTAGCAGGAGATGCATATTTTAGTAGTTTGACAGTCTGTACTTGTCTTGGTTACTTTTCTCTCATTGTTGAGACAAAGTATCTGACACCCAAAATTAGAGAAGTGAAAGGTTTATTATCTTACAGTTTTGGAGGTTTCAATCCATACTCGGCTGGCTCAAGGCAGGGTGGTATGGCTGAGGGGCAGCCGTTCATGGCAGCCACAGCAGCGAGTAAAATGGGCAAAAGAGGGGAGGGGAAATACGCCTTCTTGCCTCCCTTACATTGTATGCCAGTTACCCACCCCCGGGTAGGTATAGCACTCACACTACCTATCCCAGTGCTAGGCAAAAAGCCAATCACAAATGCTACATTCAGTTGCCTCCATGACTGCATGAGACTTGGGGGGCCATCTGAATACAACCCACAACATTCCATCACCAAGAGTTGCTAAACTCCTAACAGTTTCAGCATAGCTGTAAAGTTCAAATTCCAAGTCTCCTCCATGATCTAAGACAAACTCATAGCTATAAGACTCTGTACAAATGAAAACAAAGTTAAACACATTCAACAGTCTATGGTACAAGATGAAAATTACCATTCCAAAGGGGACAAATGGGATACAAAGAATTTGGATCAAAAGAAGCCCAAAATCCATCAGGGCAAACATTAAGTCCTGGAGTTCTATGTATATTACCTGAAACAATCTGGTTGTGAGCTTCAAAAGGCTTGAGTGACTCCACTCCAATGGCAGTTTTGGTGGTTTTAGCTCTCAGTTCACTCTTGCACTAGCTTTGCTCTATCCTTGCAGGTTTCCTTAGGCAATCTATGCTCTGGCTTTTTTAAACTTCTGGGTTCTTCATTGCACCTTTGGCTTCACCCTTATAGCTTCACATATTATCCTCTCAGGAGCATACTGCCTGACCTCCAGACTTTCTGAAATCAGGGTGGAAGCCTTTTTAACCTCAGAACTCATGCATTCTCCATGTGCCTAAAACCAGAGTCATGAAGGTGCTGCCAAGGTCTGCTGCCAGCGGGAGCAGTAGTCAGGCTTTCCTCTCTCTTGCCTGTAGGGGTTGAGTGGCTGGGTTGCTGAGCACTCAGAACCTGATTGTGAGGAACAGCTTCTCTATGTCACTGCCATTCTGGAAACTGGTACAGCTGCTGCCATTTTGGAACCTCCTGTGGCCTCTGTCACACTATGAAGCATGGTGAAGCTTTCTCCTTTGAGCAAAGTATTTTACTTTCGCAGTTTTGAGGTTGCAAAGGGTGGAGACTGGCTGCTTCCTGGGATGCCCCCGGGGAATCTTTTTTATTTCTCTGTTACTTCTCAGCAATCAAGGTCTCATATCTATCTTTGTAGTCCATAGCTTTCTGGTCAAACTCATATTTTGAGTCATCTGGATGGGCTCTTTGTCCTTGATTCACAAAAAATCTGGCTAAAAAAAAAAAACACCCAATAATAGCTATGCCACTGCGTCAACATTCAAATGCCTTGAAATTTCTTCTGCCAGATTAGTCCATTATTCTTTTTTTTTTTTTTTGTCTTTTTCATTTTTATCGGTACTGGGGATTGAACTCATGACTGCCTGCTTGCAAGGCAGGTGCTTATGCTGCTGAGCTAAATCCCCAGCCCCAGTCCATTATTCTTAATCTTAGTCTCAGGCAAAATCTTTGGACATGAGCAAAATTCAGATAAACTTTCTGCAAAGTGATAAACACATTATCTGGACTCCAATAACCAATGCAGTCCTTCCCAGCAGAAACCACTTGAGCCTGGTCTTTACCAGGGGCTATCAAGTCTTCTGGTCTCCTCAGTTATGACCAGAATCTCCCATGAAAAACAGCCTAAGCTGTTCCAGCACTATGTTTTCAGGTGACATCTCTGAACCTTTCCAAACTCTTCCCATAAGCCATTCCCGAAGGCTCTTGAACCACATGGTCAGGTACAGTCACTGCAATGACCCCACTCCACTGCTAGTAAGTTCTGTCTTGATTACTTTTCTCTTTGTTGAGACAAAGTACCTGACATCCAAAGTTAGGGAAGCAAAGGTTTATTTATCTTACACTTTGGGAGGTTTCAGTCCATACTCAGTTGGCTCAAGGCAGGGTGGCATGGCTGAGGGGCAGCGGTTCATGGCAGCCACAAGCAGCAAGAGCAAAAAGGGAAAAAGAGAGGAAAAATATGCTTCCTTGCTTCCCTTACATGGTATGCCAGTTATCCACCCCTGGGCAGGTGCAGCACTCACACCACCAACCCCAGCACTAGACAACAAACCAATCACAAATACTACATTCAACTGCCTCTATGACTGCATGAAACATGAGGGGCCATCTGAACACAATCCATAACAGTACTGTTTGCTTGGGTACTGTGATGCAGCTGGAAGGGGTAGACAAACCTTGGAGAAAACACACTGATGACTTGGTCAAATCTGTTGTTAGAGCTTCCCTCAAAATAGTGGGAGACTTCTTAATCCTTTATGGCAATTGATCTTGCCCAAGGTGATTAACAGGCTGTCAGGCTGATGGGTGGCTGGATGCCTATTTGTAGTTTCCATGGCATCTGATAACAACAGGGGTCACAGTGAGGTGGTGTGATTGATGTCTAGACCAAGAGGTGAGTCTTTTTATCTTTTGGAGGAGAGTTTTCAGAATGTCAGGATTGTGACTATCTGTTTCAGGCTGATTCAGGTGTCATTTTCTTCTCAGGGAACAGTCAAAGTTGAAGGTATAGGGTTAAATAAGGAGGCTGACTACCTTGGTGCAAAGGAGATGCCCTCCCAAACTTCAAGTTTGTGCCTGGCAGAAAGGGTGAGAGGCAAGAGTTCCAGTTGCCTTAGTGATGGTAACCTTTGACAGAGGGAACTTTTGAAGGCAGAAAGTTGTTTCATTGTCTACCAGGAAAATCACAGGTTTGGCAATGACACTGGGCTCTTTGGAGCACAATTTGATACAGCATGGTCTATCCTATGTATTCATGCCTGACAGGGCACAACTCATCTGTCAGGGCTGACAGCCCAATTTTTCATCAGTCAAAATATGGAATTCTGAAGGAGTTGTTGACAGTCATCTTGATGCCATCTGATGAGGGTAGGTATATCTGTGAAGCAGAAGGTTTGAGGGAAGGGCCTCTATGGCCAAATGCAGGCAATGGCTAGCTAGAACTGGTTCAATTGGCTGGAAATAGACAAGTTGGGAGCAGAGAGTGAAGCTATAGGTATTGGCAGCAACTGCAGTGGACAATGAGGATGCCAAGGCAGAAATCTCAGGAGGAATGGGCCTCTTTTTCCATTTTTCTTCTTTGAAATGTAGGGAGCAGCTTGGTTTCATTTTTAACTCCATAAAAGCCATTTTTTCCTGCAGTCAGAGACTGGGTTTTGATGAATTCCCATTTCTGACTTCCTGTATGTTGTTCTATACCCTTGAATGGTGGCACAACAAAGGGTGGGTGCCCTCAGAGACAGAGACCACTCAGATGCCCACTTAGCCATGCCTCTCAAGGGGACTTCAGTGTGACTTAGCTAAGGAGAGGGCGAGGTCTCCATCATGCCACATGTCTATCACCAGGTAACCACAGGTGAGAGCCCAGTGAACCTCCATGACCAGTCTTGGTGCACAGACAGAACAGCCTGTTGCTTATGCTGTCAGATCCACACATAATCATTCAGCAGGCACACAGAGGTTAAATATTTCAGCCTCTCTTCAATTGAGGGTGGCCTTAACTAGCAAGAGTTGATCAAGTTGTTCTGCTCAAACTGAGCAGGACTGACAGACTAACTGGAGTGCCCCCAGGCATCTAGAATCAGGCAGGCAGATAGACAGACATATTATATCCTTCTCCCTTTAAGGTCTGATGTGTGTTGCTCCAGTGGAGGGCCAGGTATTCTTCTCCAGACCTCCAAGGGCACTTGAGAAATCTCAAGGGTGCATCTTCCCATCAGGACCTTGTTCCATCTATGAGGACTACAACCAGTGACCAAAGAGGTCAGCATAGTTGGTCTTCCCAGCCAATACATCAGATGCAATGGCAATCAGAAACACTGAAACATCATCCAGGATTTGGAGGCAGATTTATTTATGTTGATGGCCACTAATCAGAATCATTCTCAAAATATCAAGCCCTGATATCTGGTGATCTAGAGCTTATATGGGATAAGAAACAGGAAGTACAGAGGCAGAATGGCTTGTCAACTGGGGATAGATTTATACAATGTGCATCATAGTGAGCATCTATGTATCACAGTGATCACCAGTTTCTAAGAGACAGGGGCAATTGGAACTGGTACAGGAACTAATAACCTGGGAAACTAAGAAACTGAAGTATACTGGCTGGGTGGAGGGTATTTTCTGTTACACTACGTCTTAAATACCTTAAATACCTTGAGGAAGTGCCTTTTCTCAACACTTCCATAGTGACTGTACAGGGCTCAGGTGGTGCCTAGTTAAGACTCCAGCTCCCAAGCTGGGCTGGCAGGCTGTTCCCACTATGTACAGTCAAGAGGCTCAATCTTAAAGTCACAGTCTTTAAAAACTCCTCTTCAGTTTGTCCTGAGATACCTCAAAGCCCGAGCTTCTGGGATGCCAGCCCCTCCTATCCCTGTGTTTGGTATTTTGAGCCACAGGGTCAGCAGCCTGTTCACACCTAGCTTTCTTCTCTGTTGTTTTCTCCCATGTCCAGTGGGGCCATTCTGGAGGCAAATCTCTGTTTCCTCTACAGAGACCATTCATGTCTAAGAAGTCAAGCAATGCATGATTTTGAGTCTACTCAATCACGATGTACACTGGATTTTAACTTTTAGTCATAACCATTAAGACAATATTGATGGCACTGTGGATGCCAATTTAATGGCCATCTCACATAATCCTGTGCCCTTATTTCCTGTAGTAAGGAGGTTACCTTTTAAATTAATCATAAAAGACCAAAAAATGTTACAAAAATGTGTATCTACCCCTTACAAACTTACTTTAGGGCTTCTAGCTGCATTAGAGATAACTAAAATTGGTATATTAACTTTACCTTGAATAATTAAATGAGAGGAAAAACCGAAGGATAGAGCAGCAAATAAATAATTTTTTACCATAAGCAAGAAGAGATCTGGTACCAAGACAAGACCAAAATTAATGACGAAAAAGTACTCTGTTAATACTCTGTTAAATGGAAAATACTGTTAAGTGGAAAAATATTCTGTTAAGTGGAAACATAAAAAATAATACTTTAGTGTGAACCTCTTCCACCACATTAACAACAATTACAGTTACCATAGGACAATAATAATAAATGAGTTATGCCCTCGAGTGGAGTCATTTTACATATATAATATCACATTACACATCAATGCATATGTTATTGTACTTATAGAAACAAATATTATGCAGAAATAATTTGAGATTTATTTTTCTTTTTTATGATTCTTCAACAAAAGATTCTGTTGAGGAAAAAACTCTGAAAGTTTTTCTTGCAGGTTTAGCTTGCAAGTTTTACAAACCTATTTTTATTAAAAGCCCCAAATCTCAGGCCTTCTCCATGTGCACAGTATCCTTTCTGCTAAAGAGGCCCGGCAGCTCGCTGTGGTTGGACCTCACTTCCCACTCCCTACAGTCTCACTTTTCACATGCTTTATAGCAAGAGCCCTGAGCAAAACAGGATCAAGATACAAAATCAGACCCCAACTGTGAGAGGCAGGGTGGGGAATGAAAGGGCGCAGGCACACTGTGCACAAGCTTTCTCTGGAAGGCCCACCTCTACTCAGTGGGATCCCAGAAGGCACTGAGGTCAACACCATCCACTGGGCCAGGACATATGTTCCAAGCAGTGACCAAGTTGCACAATGGACAGGATGGTGTTCAGTATTCCCACTTCCCCCTTCCTGGCAGGAAAGGCAGAGCCAGCCTGGCCTGCCAGCCCCATCCACCCTCCTGCTTGGGGTATTGGTGGCCTTTTGTGTTGTGCAGTCTGACTGGATGGATGATGGAGATGAAACCGAGTGGCTTTCTTTTGCTAAGAGTTCCTGAGGTCAGGTAGCTCCCATGAATGCCATCCAGGGGCTCAGGCTTTCCAGATGAAATGGCTCAGCGTACAACCTGGCCTGTATCCAGGTCCCCTGCAGAGGCCCCCAGATGGACACCCACAGTCCCTGGGGAGCTCAGTTGGCCTGAAAAGGGGGCTCAGAATAAACACAAGGAAGCTTCCCTTTTAGAGAGGAAAAAAGTGAAAACCAACAAAATAGAAGAAACGTGCCCAAACTCCTTCCCTTGGCCAACAGTATCTAAGGGAGATTTCCAGGGAAACTTGAGAATGATGCTAGGGCACTAACAATACATAGTTAGCAAATTGAGTGGAAACAGCCCTCCGGGTATTTGCATTTCTAGGCATCTCAGACACATTTAGGAGGAATTTTTAAAGATTGTACCTCTCATTCATGTTCATTCATTCCAAGCTGGCCAGGCCTCTCTCCTGCAAACAGCTGGAATCACAGTGTAGAGACGGTCAGTTAACAGTGTACAAGTCAGTTGTCTTATCTCACTGGATCCTTACCCAGCCCTGTAAGGCTGGGGAGCAGCCACTACCGCTGCACTGTAGAGACCAGCACGTGAGCCACCATGGCAAGAAGTGGCTAGGAAGGCTGGAACTTGTCTCCTTGCCTGGTCCTTCTGCAACTGTCCCACTACCACTTATACAGCTTCGGGACAGAAGCTGCTCTCTGTGGCTGATCAGAGCTGGAAAGAAACAGGCTTCCTTAGCATTGGCCAAGCTGTCCTGAGGGTAAGCAAGGTGAGAAGGTGAAAGGGCTGAAGCAAAGCATGCCCTGACAAAGCCAAACGTCTCTCCAGGGCACCAGTGAAAGCAACCAGAACTAAAACAGCACTCTGCAAACATTTTTGAAAGCTCTGACCAGCCTGTGTCCTGACTACAGTAAAATCCACAGGCATGTGCATATTTAATATTTTAACACAAATTGACAACATTTTGTTAAACACATCTTAGAATAAGGAGAAAAACTGAGACAGAGGGAGGGGCAGGATCTGGGGTCTCTGTGGTCTCTTGGCCACAGCAACATGAGTGGGGAGCGCAGCAGGCTCCCAGCAGTCCTTGCAGCACCCTGCACGTGGCAGTCACGTGGGCTTCAAGTTAGTGGCCAAGCTGACCATTGGGGATGAGGTGGTTGTTGGTCCCAAGGCCATTTTTCAAACAGTCTCTCTCTTTGCCTTTGGTAGCTTCCTCTTCCTCCTCATCGTCCTCCTCTTCTTCCTCTTCCTCTTCATTATCACTCCTCACATCTTTAAAGTTCTAGACAAAGGAAAGAATTGGCTGTGACAGTTCCCATGATGCCTTAAGCAGCTATGCAAACTAGTTTAGAAGTTTGGTTTCCTAAAGAAAACCCAATATCCACAGGACCAACATTCAACAAGAAAAACTCACGCTCTGGTCATAAAACAAACCTTAACAAACTCAACAAACTAAAATTACACAAAGTATAGTCATGGAAAGAAAGGTACAATACTTCCCAAAAGATACTTTATATAGTATTTTTATTCTATGGCTATGTCAAGCACCCTATGCTTTGAGTGGTTTTACTGCTGCAGACTTCAGGGACAGATGCAGTCCTGTCCCCCACTGCTCTCTTCAATTAGGTCCGCAAGGGCCCCTTACCTTCCATGGCCCAAGAGAAACCTGACCCTGAGCATTCTGGAGCCCTCCCCTTCTCCCTGTAAAAGTAACCTCCCCGCACCCTCAGCGGGCTCAGGCCATCTGCTGTTTTTATGCTGCAGCCTAAATTCTAAGAAAGCCTTGGGTCAATGGTATTTTTTTTTTCTTTTTTGCCTATTCATGATTTCCGTTTTGAGTGGATTCAAAAGCTGCCACCAGCCAGAACTAGTAACAGAAAGCAGCTGGCAGCGGAAAACAACACAGAATTGCCAAGCGTCACCATTACTGGTGGCTGGAAGAGTCGCAAGGCACATGGGTAGCTGTTGGCTCCCAGGGGTCTAGGAAGGGCTGTTGACCTTAAGAGCTGGCATTGAAAAGCTCAGGCTGTTAACATTAGAAGACTTTGCCCATTTGTGGTTTCTTTTTTTAATTAAATGTACTGGTATACGTAATGCATAATAATTACATTCATTCTGGAAAACTGGTACACACACATATATCACATTTTGATTTTTCATCCCCTTCTTTACCCACATTCTTCTCTTTCCCTGTTTTACCCACTCCCCTTTCCCAAATCACAAAAGTCTGCTGCCCTGTTTCTGGCCATCTAGCCTTTATTTTTTATTTATTTATATTACTGGTTTCTTATATAAGCAAAACCATGCAATATTTAACTTCCCATGTTTTATTTAATTCAATTATCATTATAATATCAAGATCCATCTATTTTCCTACAAATGACTCAAATTTATCATTCTTTATGGGTGTATAATACTCTGTTATAGGTAAATATATACGTATTCTTTTTTTAAACATTTAATATTTTATTTAAATATTTTTCTGGGTTTTTTCCCTCTGTATGCAAATTAAACAACATTTCTTGGTATTTTAAAGAATTCTTGGAATTAAAATATCTTTAGAAAGAAATAAATTTGTGGAGTTTTTCTTGTTCCTCAGACATCAGACAAATCAGAGCAAATAAGTCAGAAGAGGAGGGCTAGGGAGGCAGGGACTTAATTGGAGAAAGGAAGGCACACAGCCCTGGCCCAACTTCCCCAGGAATTGCTGGTGAAACTCTAGATTAGATTGGGTCCTGTGGTTTCCTCCTCCTCAGCGCATTCCAAAACAGAAACCACTGTACTTGGGGTGAAGGCCCAAGCAAGGCCCCTGTGCAGATTCTCACTCTCATGCAGCTGTCATTCTGGGGGGCACCCAGCCACAGCCTCTTCATCTGGAGGCTGCTCAGTGTGCACAAGGCTTCCCTCTGCAGGATCACACGCATCTGAGGCACAGCATCCTTGGTGCGTGAGGATCTCACAGTGGGCTCCTCACCACAGCTCTGTGCAGTGCCCTTAAACTCGCCCTGGCCAGACCTGCAATCTTTCTCCAGGCACAGAACCACCTCCTTCTCCTCTCCCTTCACTAGGAACAGCTGGTTATATGTGCTTCCTCCTCCTGCTGATCCTCTGCCTCCTTCTCTTCCCTCTGCTCCTCTTTCTTTTCCTCTTCCTCCTCCCTCCTACATTTCCTCCAGCTCCTGCTCTTCCTCCTCCTCTATTTCCTCCTTCTATATACGTGTTCTTTATCCATTCAGCTGTTGATGGGCATTTAGGCTGTTTTCATAGTGTTGCTATTGTGAATTGGCAACTTGTGGTTTCTATACAAATTCTGCAAGAATTCTTAGTTGATTAGTAACATTTAGAAGTGTATACAAGAACCCTACCCTCTAGAGCCCCTGAAGAAGAGGTAGACAATGGTGACAGACATCAGCAGACTCAAAAACTGGTCTAAGTCTGATGTGTATCTTACATGTGTTTAAGAATCCATAACTAGCTGGTGACATTTACAGAACATAATGAAATTAAGCTAGAAATCAAGGTACCATCCAAAAGATAATGGGCAAATCTCGAAATACATGGAAATATTTAAAAACTCTTCTAAATAATCAATGAGTCAAAAAGTCTCAAAAAGTACTCAAAAACATGTTGAATTAGATGAAAATAAAACAATGTTAGTACCGTCATTCTGGAAGAACATGGCGGATAGACAGCAGCAGCTATGGAGGCTCTCTGAGATACCCCACTTAGAATCCAGGAATGCTGCAGTACAAGGAGTCCTAAACAAGGGGAAATACACCCTGCTGACTCAGGAATGAACTAAGCTAAGAGAAACCAACTGGAAATCCAATCCTGGTGCTATAACAGGAACAGATAAAATCTCAGTGCAAAAGCTAGAATCCATGCCACTGGAAGCCGCGATCTGAATTTGCTGCTACTGCTGCTGTGTCCAAATCTGCAGGGCAGGGAGAGAGATGCATGAAAGTGGGAATTTGCGAACGGAGTTGAGAGCAGGACTAGCAGGGAGCCCTTCATCGACTTGCAGTGTGTGAGGGGAACAGGGACCCTTTCATAGAGTAGGAGGCTCCAGCAAAGGACATACTGGGACCGGGCAGACTTGCCGGAACCAGGCACTGCAGTGACTTCAGTCACATATTCCCCTCTCAAGTGGGATTGGTGGGGAGAGCCTGGCCTGCGTGACGCCACTGACTTAGACCCAACAGGCGAGTCAACACAGGTCCCAGCGCCTGGAAGTGCACCCTAGCAGTGCAGCCTTCTGTAGGTTGACCTAGAGGGGCAGGCCCAGCAGAGGCTGCCCAGGTCTGTGTCTCCCTAGTACACTGCAGTGGGTGGGAACACCTAGCCGGCGCAATTCAAACAAACTATAACCGAAAAAAGAGAAAAAAATTGGGCCTCCTACATTCACTTGTATGGAAGGAACAAAAAGTATGGGAAGAAGAAGAATAAGAAAGGGTCCCCAATCCCCAATCCTGAGAACACTGATCCAGGAAAGGGAAATGCAAAGGAAGACAGAAAACATGCAATATCAGACACGGCACCAATAGACATAAAGTGATATCTCCAGAGCCTCATAGATGAGTTTAAAAATGAAGTATTTAATGAAATAAAGCAAGAGATAAATAGAATAGTTAGAGAAATCCTAAGCATCACCCAAGAAAAAACAGATGGTGGAATGGAAGAACAGAAAAAAAGGGGAGAATTGTTTGATGGAGAAAATAAAGAAAACATAGAATACGTGAAGCAGGTTTAAAGAGATTACCAGGAAACTAAAAACTCTATCGAAAGCGGGCATAACAGCTTGAAAGAAACTAAGGATAGATTAGCTGAACTGGAGGGCAGACTTGTAATATGGGAGCATGAAATGAAAAACTTCTTAAAAATAACAAGAAAACAAACAGCAATAATACAAAGACTAGAAGATGATAGGTCTACAACCTAAGAATTAAGAACATAAAAGAAGAAGTAGGGACACAAACAAATGGACTACAAAAGCTATTCACAGAATAATCCAAGAGAATTTCCCGAATTTAGCAAAAGGTAAAGACACTCAGATGTATGAGGCATACAGGACCCCAGCCACCTACAACCCAAACAGAGCTACACCCAGGCATATAATAATCAAAATTCCAGAAATCCAATATAAGAACAGAATACTAAAAGCCGTCAGAGACAAGAAACAGATCACTTACAAGGGAACACCCATCAGAATTACAGCAGACTTCTCGGCACAAACCATCAAATCACAAAGAGCGTGGGGGTAAATAATTCAAGCGTTGAAAGATAACAACCTCCAGCCAAGAGTGATATATCCTGCACAACTGTCCCTAGAAATTGATGGAAAAACAAGGTGCTTCCAGGATAAAGAGGAACTAGGGGAATTTGCAACCACCAATTCAGCTCTACAGAGAATACTGCAGGATATTCTAAAAAAGGAAAATACCAAGACTTCAGAAACAGTGGCAGAGAGGCCACAATTAATGGAACAGAAAGTGAAATGAAGAAGACAAACCAACAACAAACGACAGAAAAAGAGCTCAACAGAAATGTGGCAGAGAAGATTGGATGGTAGGAACAGCTATTTTGGAGAAAACAAGACATCATAATAGCTAGTGCTGATTTAGTATCATCTTGCTTTGAAATCCCATCAAGCTTTTATTCATTCTTCTGTCTCCATCGGTCTTAACAGGTTGTATCTTATTGGATTTTATTTTATGTGATAATTTAAGCAAAAACTTTTATAGACAAGGAGATTATACAGAAACCATTGTTCATTTTCTGATAGTTGGTTCTAAATACCCTGTAATACTGTCATTCTCTTGAATGGTTTTACATTGTCTTGATATGTTTGGTGCTACAGTATACGAAGTTATACTCAAAGATTTCAAGGAAAGAGACATTATGGTAACTACTTTTATGTCGGGATGTCTTGTGGTGAAACACTATTTTACTTAAATGGTTATGCTTTGACCTGCGCTGTTTTGTTGTTATGCCCTCTTTTATCTCAGTCTTTTTTTAATTATTTACTTTTTAAATTTTTTTCTTTTTAATTAAGGGAAAGATTAAAAAAAGCAGGATATATTATTATAGTAACCCACTTTGATTTCCTATTAACTTGATTTGAAACCCTGTATAGCCCTCACCATCTTGCTTTAACTGATTTTCCTCTATTTTGCTTTGCTTGATAGTACCGAGTTTGAAAGTATAGGCAACAACTGTAAAGACAATAAGATTCATTATGACACCCATTCCGGTTGAATTATCTTCTTTTAAAGCCCTGTAATG